CTTGAGTAATATTTCATCCAAGTGTTGGTACTTTTAGTTGAGTATGATATTTTAGTACTTTTTCCACCTCTGATAGAAAGATTATTAACTGGTTGCTGGGGGTCAGGATCGCTCAGCGTGCAGAAGGCACACTGGACACAGAACGTCGGGTCGGGAGGAAACTGGGTGCTATTTCAGACGATTGACAGGCGGATATTTAAAAACTCCTTATCCGCTGTACAAACGGGCGCTGCCAGCAATGATGATGCGGCGTTTTCAGCTCACAGCTTCCTCGAACAGGCATGGAGTTCTCTTTGGAGTTCACAGCTCTAGAGATTGCACTACGTGGAATTTCTTTTCCAGCTGGATCATTAGGTCTCTCCCTCTGGACCGGTGGTCACCGATGGAAGGGGAAGAAAAAGGGGGATCTGGTGGTTTTAAAGGTCGCGGCACGGTTCAGGATCTGATGTCTGAGGATGCACCGACACTTACTGTAGCCGTAACCCGATCCCTAACATAGATCAGTCTGATCCTTAAAAATATTATTTCTTTTCAAAAATCTAACATAAAATCAGTTTATTAAAGATTTAAGAGAAAGACCACGCCTAATACCCCACTTCTATCAAGACATGCATGATTACCATCTACAAGTTTAATGACAGAGGTGGATGAAATGGGAGCTCCACCCTAAAGTGACAAGCCCATGAAGCACACTTAAAGTTATCAATTTTCTCATGAGTTTCATTATATATTCTTTTTTTACTCAAAATGGGATTATGTTGATGATTATTATTTGCGTTAGAAAGGATGCCGGAGAACTTTACAGACTTCCTGAGAATCCACCCATGAAGTAAACATTTCAGATTCTCTGAGTGCCGGAAAGTAGAGTTCAGCTCTGCAAATTCTAGAAGCTGCCTTATTGTTTACATTCATTTCATCAAATACAGTAAAGCATTTCATCGATTGAGGTTTCCTTTTTAAAGAAGATGGCTTCCTTTCAGCAGAAAACATTTTTACTACGTCAAAGCTGCAGCTAAGCTAATAAAGCCAACAATTTAAAGACATTTACAATTAAAAAAGGTCAAAGGTCATTTTATCTGTTAAATGTTGGATTTTCGTCTCTGCAGGCCTGTGTTCAAGGATGCATCTGGAACTCTGGAGAAAAACGCTCGTTTCTCAGCCCTCTACAGGCAGGACAGCAGCAAGCTGTCAGACGAAGACATGTTCAAACTCCTCACCGACTTCAGAAAGTATGTTGTTTCGAGTTGATTTTTTTTTTTTTTCCCCCTGTTCATCAAACTTTCTTTGATACGTTTGTTAAAGGCCTTTTTCCCCCCTATGTTTTCCCTACAGGCCAGAAAAAATGGCAAAACTTCCTGTGCTCTTGGGGAACTTAGATGTTACTATTGATAACGTTGCACCGGATGTACCCAGTAAACCCTCCTTATGTTTTCAAAACCTCTTTATAACATCTTTTTTAAACATGACTTTGATCTGTAACTCTCTAAGGGGTCTTCCTCGCTGCTTACAGACTGTGTCACTTCCTCGTACATCCCAGTGAGAAACTTTGAGCAGAATGGTCCAGGAAACGCTCTTCTCGAGGTGGAGGAGTTTGTGCCCTGTATTGCTAAGTGTGCCCAACCGTTCACTATATATAAAAACCACCTCTATGTCTACCCGAAACACCTCAAGTATGATGGGCAAAAGTCCTTTGCAAAGGTAGGTATAGAAATATGTTTATATTACTGTTTTTATGTATTTTTTTAAACTGTTTTCAAGGCTGCACTTTAAAAAAAAATGAAATTGTCCATAGAGCTGTTCTTAACGAAGTCTCTTTTTGTTTACACTTGTGTATACAAAATCACAAAATAAATCTAAGTCTAAATGTATTATATGCGATTGTCATTAGGGAAATGCTACCACAACCAGGAATCATTTATATATATTTTGTTAAAGACAAAACAACATAGTGAATAATTATTATATAAGAAGAAGAAAAAAATCCATATTTTTACTAATTCTCCCAAAGGAAAACTTAAAAAAAATGAAAATAAGATGGTATTTCACTCTTATTTTATTAGATAAAGTATACAACAACCAAATGTAAAGCAGCTAAGAGTAGTATCAATAGAGCAGCACTGTTATTATTGAGCTCAAATCACAGCGATGTGATAGAACGGCCTAGTCAAAGTCCAGTTCTTAATCAAAATAAAAATCTGTGGCAAATTTAACTTTGTTTTCCCACAATAAACTCCAAAAAAATACAACTATTTTGTATGCATTTCTGTTGTCCTGCATAATAAGAGCTATGCAACATTAACCATAGCTCTAAAGCATATAAGCTTTCCTGCTACTTGGCAGGCATTCCACATAATCATCACTTTGTGCTCCTGCCTAGCGTGTGAGACCCCTGGCATCAGACTCCAGCCCATTTGGGCGAACTGCAGAGCTGGAGAGAGTCGTCCTCGTGCCAAGCAGCAGCTTTTGATTAATTAGAGAGGTTTTTGTTTTAAATAGGGTAGCTCATTGTTAAAAATCAAACTACAAAAGTCTCCTGTCTGTCATTTTGTTTTTATATTCACAAAATTATATTTTCTATATTCACCCTCTGATTAGAATTTGTGTTTTTATCTCCTTTACCAGGCGAGGAACATTGCTGTTTGTGTTGAGTTCAAGGATTCAGATGAAGATGAAGCTCAGCCACTGAAGGTACAGTTACATAAAACAGTTTTCACTTTTCCTTATAGCTGTATGAGTGTTCCTAACTGAAAAAAGACCAACTGATTCTCCTGGCATTTGAATTAGGTAAACAGAAGTTGTTTACCTAGAAAAAATGAACCAAATTAAACGGGATGACCAGGAACCAGCAGCCTGAAGACAGCATCCAGTTAGTAAAACATGGTGTTGGCACCATCATAATGTGGGGATGCATGTTTTTGGCGAGAAGAGAGAGGCTAATTAGAGTCTATGCAAGAGTAGAAGGTGATGCGACAGGAGAATCCCCCGTGGATTACAATGTTTGCAGATGACAATGTCCTTTGTTGTGTTTGGAGGAGATGGAAGAAAAGCTAAAAAGGAGGCGGCCTGAAGGTGATTAATGGTTCCCTCATTTATCTTCTGCCTTTACCGCCATCTTCTCTCTGATTCTCTGCAGTGCATCTATGGCCGCCCTGGAGGGCCTCTGTTCACCAAACAGGCGTATGCAGCTGTTCTTCACCACCAGCAGAACCCTGAGTTCTACGATGAGGTATTTCTGCTTGTGTCATTCACAGAGTATGAACTGATTAACTAGAACCCACTTTACTTTTTCTTAAGCCATTCCTAATTAGAGCAAATATTAACCACTGTGTTTCCGCCCACAGATAAAGATAGAGCTGCCGACTCAGCTGCATGAGAAACACCACCTTCTCTTCAGCTTTTATCATGTCAGCTGTGACAACAACAGCAAGAAGAAGGATGTAGTAGAGACTCCTGGTAGGCCGTCAAATATCCCTGGGCAGCTAACATATGTGATAACCCTGTCAGGCTCAAATTAAGTTGTAGTTGCAGGAAAAATCTGATATTTGGAGAAAATGATCATATGGGGTAGTAATATACAATTCAGACTTTTTTTTGAGAGAGAGAGCCCTTCACATGCAATGAATTCTGGGATGTTGCAGATTTGCAACAGTGGCCCAGAGTGGTCATTTAACACTGAAGACTGAATCTGATATGAACGTTAACTTTACTTGAATGTCACAAACAAAAAATTAACAAAACAAAATTCGAAGAAAAAAAAATTTCTCTCAAAAAATTAGAGACAACTTTTTCCTCAAACTTCTCAAAACCTCTTGAGAAGGCCGTTTCTGTTAAACTGTTGCTCAAAATATAGGCAAACTAGAAGATAAAGC